TCCCAGCACTTTGGGAAGCCTAGGTGGGAGGATGGCTTGAGCCCAGGTGTTCAACACCAGTCTGGGCAATATAGCGAGACCTTGTCTCCACAGAAAAAATTTTAAAGACTAGCTAGGTGGCACACACCTGTAGTCCCAGGTTCTCAGGAGGCTGAAGTAGGAAGATTGCGCCAGCCTAGGAGGTCAAGGCTGCAGTAAGCCATGATCGTGCCACTGCACTCCAACCCAAATGAGTTGGAGTCTCACTCCGTGGAGTCCAGTAGGATGCTCCCGGGCACTGCAGTCTCGACCTGCTAGGACCCGGTGATCCTTCCGTCTCAGCCTTCCAAGTAGCTGGAACTACAGGTGAATGCTACCATGCCTGGCTTATTTTTTAATTTATTGTAGAGATGAGGTCTCGCCAATAAAAAAAAAATTTTTTTAAATGATGGTGATCTAGACTGGAGTCCACACAATTCTCCCTTTTCTAATTCACCATTCACGGGAAATAAATAAAAATGAAATTCCTAAACTTCAAAGCCATTTCCAGCTGGACATCCAAAACACAAGCAATGTACTGGCCAGTAGATGGCGCCAAAGGTTAACCGCTACCTTTGGGCTGAAACGTTCCAATTGAGTCCAGTTCACACCATTTTCAGTTATTCATGCTGCCCCCATACATGGCTGCCTGCCAAGTACTGGGTCCTTGAGATGGGTTTGTAGAATAAAGAGATGAGAGTCTAATTTCAATTCAGACGGGTGCAGTAGCTCACGTCTGTAATCCCAGCACTTTGGGAGGCGGAGGCAAGAGGATTACCTGAGTCCAAGGGTTTGAGATCAGCCTGGGCAAATTAGCGAGACCTCGTCTCTACAATAAATCAAAAACTTAGCTGGGTGTGGTGGCGTGTGCCTGTCGTTCCAGTTACTGGGAAGGTTGAGGGGGAAGGATCACCTGAGCCCAGGAGGTCGAGGCTGCAGTAGTTGTGAGAATGTACCACTGCACTCCAGCCTGGGCAACAGAGTGAGACTCCTATTAAAAATTAACTAATTTTGATTTTAAACTGAAAAAAAAGAATTTCAATTCAGTCTTGTGGTCTAGGAGCTGTGGGGGAGGCATCCAGAGTGAATTTGGCCAGAGAAGGTGATGTCCAAGCTGAGCTCAGCAGATGCATGTTTGCCCAGAGACCAGAAGGCTCTTGGGTCCCAGGGGCATTTGGAGAACCACCCCGAGTGGAGGGAGACAGGCGGGGCAGACTGTAAAGCCCTTGAGCTGCTGCAGTCATCAGCAGATGAAAGGGAGTTGCCATGGTGCTGAATCTGAGGGTGATGGGCCCTGACATGTGTCTAGTGGGATCCTTCCTGCTGCCTGTGGAGGCTGAGAGGTGGGGGGAGATGGAGCAGCCGTGAACTTGAGAGAGGAGGAGGGACGCTGGAATGGAACCAGAAAGCAACCAGCAGCATATTCTTGGTGCAGCCCCCGCCCCCTTTCGTGTTCTGTTCCCCCTCCGGCCATATCTTTTACTTTGCGATATTCATAAGTTGCCAGGTCACCTGGTCCTGGGTCTGACAGTCGTGCCCCCATTAGGCCACCTGGGGACACTCAGCTGGGTTGTGGACAGGGCCAGAAGGGCCTTGGAGACATGTGGGTGTCTGCAGCACTGAGAGCACCAAGGTCAGACATGGAGATGGCACAGGAGGGGGCTCCCATTCAGGTAGGGTGTGAGTTGATGCCACAGCAAGCAGGCAGAGGCAGGATCAGCTGGCCCTGGGGTCTGAATGCCTAGAGAGGGACTGCAGGCTCAGTGTCCTGGGAGCCTAGAGGGTTTCTGCACTGGGAAGTGGGCAGGTGAAAACCAGCATGTAAACCGGGAGTGGTGACTCACACCTGTAATCCCAGCACTTTGGGAGGCTGAGGCAGGAGATCAAGACCAGCCCGGGCAACACAGTGAGACCCCCGCAACTCCATTTATTCAAGAAATATCTTTCAAACAAGAAAACGAAAACCCGAATGTAGAACAGATAAATCCAGCAAGAGCCAGCTGAAAGCGGCCAAGGTGGGGGGGGCCTGAGGGCCTGGATCAGAGCAAGACCCTCAGCACGCGGAGAAAGAATGCGTTAAAGGAAAAATCCATCAGACTCCGTGGCTGTTGGGATGTGGGGGCTGAAAGCAAGGGATGACTCAAAGATGACTCAGAAGGCTTGAAGGTGAGTTCAAGGGAAAATGACGGAACGGGGAAGATGTTCAAGTTCATGCCCTAGACTCCTGGATCTGATTGGGCAGAAGAACCTTCCAGAACTCACCCCATGTGTGGTTTGCATTTCGTGCTTGCTCCCACTAGAGTGCAGGCCTCTGGGGGAGTCGCCTCAGCCTTGACCAGCACGCCCCCTCCACCGCCTAGCTCAGAGTGGGCGCAGGGGACAGGCGGACGCTTCCACGAGATGCTAGGAGGATTGGGGGGCCAGGGGGACAGAGAGGGAAAGTCCCGCCACCTCTCTCCCATGGCCACACCTGGCGACCCCCGGAGGCCTCACTCGAAGGCACAGCCTCTCGTTCCCAGGTCTCTGCCATGCCGTTATTCCCGGGCCCGGGCTGAGTCCCTCGGCCCCCCTTGGCTCAGCACACTGCTCGGCTTGGCCGTCCTTCCCTGCATTCTCCCAGCTCTCCGGTTTATGAATCCACGTGTCTGCTGGGGTTGGCTGTCAGTCTGCTCTCCCGTGAAGGGGAGGACCTGGCTTTGCTCCACTCTGGCCCAGGGCCTGGACACAGGGTTTTGGTACACTGATCTGAAATGAATGATGAAAAAATGACCAGGAAGATGGGCTCCCACCTGTGCTGACAACAGTGGAGAGAAGGGAAGGGGTGTTGGCTGAATTCCTTTCTGGTGGCAGCCTGTGGTGAGTTGAGAAAGTGGGCCTTAGAGGATGGGTTGGAACCTGCTAGGTGAAAAGCAGTTCTGGTACCAGAGTGTCCCAACGGTCTAGTCAGGCCATGGAAAAACTGGCTCACTCTGTGCAAATCCACTTCAGGGCTAACTATGAAAACCAGACCTGGCCAGAATAGAGGGCTGGCCATGTCACCGCCCCTCCCAAGAATGCAGAGAGCTCTTCAACATCTTTGGGAGCCTCCATTTGGCCGCCGCCCCTGTCAACTCAAGCCATGAGCCCAGCCCAAGTGCAGGAGAGATTACGGTGGTGTGGCAGCTGCTTTGCGGTCTGTCTCCAGCTCAGGCCACCTGGTCTCTTCATTCTCCATCCAGAGAACAGCTAGTCCATCCCTGGCGTTAGCTTCCAGCATCTCCCACATCCCTTCCATGATCACCCCCATTGTAGAGATTAGAAGACTAAAGCCCAGAAAGACTGAGTAGTTTGCTCAGTGACACAGCCAGTGAGTGGCAGGGTCAGAACTCACAATCCGACTCGACCTGTGTTTTGACTGATGCCATCTTTCTCTGAAGCTGTCTTTCTTGACTGATTTTTCTTTCGTAGGTATGAACCACTGAATTTTCCTATGTAATTATGACCTGATCCTGAACATGTCTTCAACTTTCCCCAAAGTTTTTGCTAAACACCAATTTTTAAAAAATTTTTTAATTTAAAAAAAATTTTTTGAGTTGGAGTCTCACTCTGTTGCCCAGGCTGGAGTGCAGTGGCATGCTCACAGCCACTGCAGCCTCGACCTGCTGGACTCAGGTGATCTTTTCGCCTCAGCCTTCCAAGTAGCTGGAACTACAGGCACAAGCCACCATATCCGGTTAGTTTTTCGATTTATTGTAAAGATGAGGTCTGGCTATTAATTTTTTTTTTTTTTGAGTTGGAGTCTCACTCTGCTGCCCAGACTGGAGTGCAGTGGCCGCTCCCGGCCACCGCAACCTCGACCTGCTGGACTCCGGCGATCCTTCCGCCTCAGCCTTCCGAGTAGCTGGAGCTACAGGCGTGCGCTACCACAACCGGCTAATTTTTTAGATTTATTGCAGAGATGAGGTCTCACCAAGTTGCCCAGGCGGGTCTCAAACCTGCAGGCTCAGGCAATCCACTCACCTCAGCATCCCAAGGCGCGGGATTACAGGCTGAGCCACCAAGCCTGGTGGCTATTGATTATTTATCAAAAAGAACATTTACCAAAGCAGGCTATATTCCAGGCCATGAATTTCAAAGGATTCAAATCATGTAAAATATGTTCTCTGACCACAATGGAAATATGAGAAATCAATAACAAAGCCGGAAAATCTCTATTTTTTAAATTTTTTTAATTTTAAAAATATGGGGTACAATTTAGGATTGTAGATATACAAATGGTCATTATGCACATACCCACCTCCGCTTATTTGGAAATGAAACAGCCAATAAATAACCATAGGTCAAAGAAGAAATAGAAATTTAAGGCAGGGCATGGTGGCTAAAGCCTGTAATCCCAACACTTTGGGAGGCCAAGGTGAGGGGACTGCCTGAGCCCACGGGTTCAAGATCAGCCTGGGCAACTTGGCAAGACCTTATCTCTACAATAAATCAAAAAATTAGCCAGGAGTGGTAGTGAGCACCTATAGTTCTGGTTACCTGCCTAACAAGCACTCATACCTACCCTGTGGCACTTACGCCCCCTTACATACTACAGATGGTGGGCTAGGCACCTTGCATGCAGGTCCTCAGTTAATCCTGTTGTCTCTGAAATAGGTGGCTTTGGTCCCACTGTACAGATGAGATCACTGAGGCTCAAGTGTGGTAAGTCCTTTACTCAGGGGATACCCAGGGCAAGGGCCTCCACGGCAGTCACACTCAGCTCTGGTTCATACGTCTTGATACACTGTTTTTTGTTTTTTACTAGGTCAAGCGAAGCAGTGGGAGTGGAGAAGGAACAAAGAAACCCGTAACTGGTTGTGATGAATTAGTTGCAAACACCACTGCACTGGGACCCACCCATACACTGGTTTTTACATTTTCATTCAGTTCAAAATATTTTCTATTTTTTTGAGTTGGCGTCTCTGTCGCCCAGGCTGGAGAGCAGTGGCACACCTGCTGGAATCCAGCGATCCTTCCGCCTTAGCCATCCAAGTAGCTGGAACTACAGGTGTGAACCACCACACCTAGTTAATTTTTGATTTACTGTAGAGATGAGGGCTTGTCAAGTTGCCCAGGCTGGTCTCGAACCCATAGATAGACTCAGCCTCTCAAAGGCTGGAATTACAGGCGTGAGCCGCCGTGCCCGACTGTTAATTACTTATCAAAAAGAACATTTTTTGTTCTTTTTATCAATTATTTATCAAAAAGAAAGAGCCCCTCCGCCCGGACGGGAAGGAACCCCGGGTTTGAGGATACGGCAGGCACGGGGTGGGGTGCCCCCACAGCAGAAGGCGCCGACACCCAAGGGCCCCACCCTCTCCCAGCACCTGCATAACAAAAAGCACGCATACCGGTGCCACGTGGGTGGTCGTGTCTATCCTGTTTCCCCCATTTCAACGCAGGTCAAGACTCTTTATGCTGATTTCACACACTCCCAAGGGGTCTCAAGCCCCAGTTTGAAAACCCCTCCTCCTAGGGGAGCTGGGATTCCCCAGACAAGCCGAGCAGGAGCCAGCAGTGCTCTCTCCAGCCTGTTGACAGGGTAAGGCGCTTCCAGAGTGTTCTCGAGGGCCTGGCTGCGAGTCTAGGGAAGAGGAGAACGAGGGCCAGGGTGGAAGGACCAGAGACAAAGTCGCCAGGGGCGAGGGGAGGAAGAGAGCACGCGTGGACCGCGCTGGGCTGCCCGAAAGACAGGGGGCTACCTGGGCCGGGTCTGCGGACCCTTCGGCCTCCTGTTCCAAGCTGTGAGCGGGCGTGGTCCAGACCTTTCCGAATTCCCATTTCGTGACTGGCTTTGGGGGCAGGTTAGCCACCCGCCAGATGTTTCGCATCGACACCTCAAATGAGGTCATAAGCAAAAAAGGGGGGAGCTTTCCAAAACCATGATGGGAGTAGCTGGGTGGGCGCACTGAATCCAGCACTAAGGGACACTGGAAGGGGGAGGGAAGGGATTCAGGGCAGACCAGGGACAGGGAGAATTCACGACTGTGACCGCGGCGCACAGCACCGCCCCGGG